ATACACTCAAAAGAATGCTAAATTTGGGGGTGAGGAGAAGCCAGGGTGTGGTGGGCAGAGGAAACTCTTGTTTGGGAACTGCTTATCCACTTGGTAAACATGAAAGAGAAAAGGAAATAGGTTTTTATTTCTGGAAACTGTGCTTTCTGTATTAATTCCCAGAAGTGGATTGCTTTGGTGCACGCACCTCCTTTCCAGGATGGCTGGTGCTGTGGGAGGCAGGCCGTAGTAGTAGTTGAGCTTATTTTGTGAAACATCTTTTTAAAAAAAAAAAAATCACAAATTAACAGTATTGTTGCTGCTTTATTTCCCAGTATTGGAAAGGGACATGGAAATGTAGGATTGGTGATGAAAACTAAAGCATTTAAGATTTGCACATGACATGTATAAAAGGTGGCGGAACTCCTTGTTTAATCTGTGCACTGTCACCATGGCATGTTGGAGTGTACCCCAGTCTGTGGGCACATCATTTTGTTTATGTGGCCAAAGAGGACATGTTAGGTAGCCATGAATGTATATAAAATCATCTTCTACCTTCTGCCCTCTCCGCGTCTTAGACACGCAGAAGCAAGCCGCCTCCTAATCCTGCTACCTTGAACTTGGTCTCACCTGTGATTCCAGTTACCAGCCTAGGTTGATAAGTCCCTGAGGGTAATGTGAGTCCATAAGACAATCAGACAGTTACCTGTGGAGCAGCCCACATTTGCCTTGCACTGCTTAAGGAGGGGAGCAAGAAATCTTGAGAGCAGATAGCTTTGAACTTTCAGTCTGAAAAGCAGGTGAAGGTAACACTACCCGTATTTAAGAGAGAGGGCGTGTGCTCTAGTTCAGTGGCTCTCAAAGTGTGGTCCTCAGACCAGCAGCATCAGCATCACCTGGGAACCTGTTAGAAATGCAAATTCTCAGGCCCCACCCCAGGGACCCTGGGGTGGCCTAGCAGTCTGTGTGTTAACAAGCTTCCAGGGGATTCCAATGCAGGCTGAACTGGAGAATGGCTGCTGTGATGGCTAGAACATTACGCTTGAGCCAAATAGACTGGTTGCAAATCCCAGCTCTGCACTCGCTGGCTGTGTGACCATGAGCAAACTACTTAACCTTTTTGTTCCTCAGTTTCCTTATCTGCCAACCTGTGATGGTGTTAATACTATTCTTTTTTTTTTTTTTTTTTAATATATCTTTATTGATTTCAGAGAGAGGAAAGGAGAGGGAGAGAGAGAGATAGAAACAGCAGTGATGAGAGAGTCATTGATCGAGCCCGCAACCCGGGCATGTGCCCTGGGAATCGAACCCTGATCGCCTGGATCCTAGGTTGATGCTCAATTGCTGAGCCACGCCCGGCCGGGCTGTTAATACTATTTATCTCTTATGGTGGTTGTGAGGAGTTAACATATGTGAGAGCACTTAGTACAGTCTCGTAGTAAGCACCGTGTAAGGCCCGCTGTGCTAATATCCTGACAGCTCAGTGGTTTGTGTTGGTTTGTCGAAGATGAAATAGCCCTTTGATATCTGAACCTTCTCTTCATGCTATGCTAGTCCTGGAGGTGAAATTTGGGTGATATCAAGTGACATAAAATCAATGAGAACTTAGCTAATTATATAGTAATGTCCTTTCATCCATGTTACTCAAATCTGTGTGTGTGTGTGTGTGTGTGTGTGTGTGTGTGTAGCAGTTAGTTTACCCTGAGTTGTAGTGCTATCTTTTCAAGTTATATTTCTTTTTTATCTTTTTAGTGGTAAAATTTTAGACATAATCCTCCACATATGATACATTACATAAGGAAAAAGTACAAATCTTTGTTTTACTGTCTAATTTTCTAAAATAATTGTTTTTACATCCATCCAATTTGGAAATTGAGTTGTCCTTGTTGCATGAGGTTGGCTCATCAGCATATGACTGTGGTCTGTGTCTCAGTCTGCCGGTAAGTCCAGCCCCAGAGACAGCAAAGGAATATGTCGTGAAGTAAAGAAACAAGCCACGGACTCACCTCCTCAAATATTGCACAGACCTGCTTGCTTCAAACTTACAAATTCCACCCTATGAAGAACGTTCTTCTGGTGAAGGGGTTAGTGCTAGCCCAGCTGTATTTCAGCCAGGGCAGTGCGACTTGGATGGATGGCATTTGTCAGGAAAGGTCAAAGCCAGGACCTGAGATGCCTCCTGACCTTCTTCTAGGGCAAAGGAGAGAAAGACCCCCGGGGTTTGCCCATAGTGCCATCTGCTTCTCGGCCTGATGGAGCATCGCTGACAAGGGTCAGTGCCTTGGAGGCTGTGAGTGGGGACAGGCCACACAGGGTTGACCTTGCCCACAAACACTAATTCTCAAAGTCTTATGAGACGCTTGCTGGTCAGGCAACTCTAGCGCTACGGTGAATTTTTCAATTTCTAGAACTCTCTTGTTAGGCTTATTAATTGTTGAGATCTTCATTTGCCCAGAAAACCCATGCCCTCAAGTTGGGGTAACATTGAGAATAACGCTGTTGTATCTTTGAAGATGGAAGGCATATTCATCGTGAAACATGGATCTATCAGTTCGTTGAGAACAAAATAGGCAATTAATTCATTCAAAATGTTATCTTTCTCTTGTTCAGGGTTTTCTTTTACAGTATGCTCATGTGAGTGTCTATCCTCTCCGCGGGAGGGTCCAATAATCCAGTTGTGGTCAGATTGGCCAGACCCCAGGATTCGGTCAGGAGGCAACTCAGACTTTAGGTGGGAATGGAGACCTCAGCCCTGCTTCGGTGAGATTCAGAAGGGAACCCCTGCTTTTCACATGGGAAAACTGGGTGCATCTTGTTTCAGGCTGCACTTGTACAGGGTTGGTAGGCTAAGAAAGCCATGCATCATTGAAGAAAAGTAAATAGATGTAGGTCAGACCAGAGCCGTTTTGTTGACTTGCCATAAATCATGTCCTTTAAATACCTGAGTTCCTGGAAGCATTGAGGGTGAGCCAGCAAAGTTGTCTCTTAAAGCTGTAATTCAGAAAGTCCCTCACCCTGGCTGTGTCACTGCGTGGCAGTGGTGGTCTTAATCTAGACCCAGAGTATATATCATCAAAGCTCTATAAATGGCAACAAGTGACCGGTGGCAGTAGCCCCTCGGGCTGGTCCTCTGCGCCTCAGGGGCAGCCTCACGCCCTGAAATTCTCAGAGGTCTTTATTCTAGAATGTGCTGCTCTGCTGTGCATCTGGGCCGCGCCTCCTTCAGGCCCAGGCTCCTCTTCCCAGGGCTGTGCGTAGTGGCTGTGTTATTGCTGGATAAGGGTCTTCTCTGACTTTCCAGAACAGGATTTATGTCTTCTTGCATCTGAACTTCAAAGCTTTGGACTTGCAACCCCCTCTTGCTGTTTTCCATGGACACCCCGACTCCCAGCTCACAGTAACCTCAGTAACGGGGAGGGGGGTAATTTGTCACCAGGGGGTGTGACACATACGGCCAGGGAGTGCTTTAAAGATGGCAGGCCTGAATGTGCCCCCTGCAGACTCCGTCCAGCAGCTGAGTAAACGACTTTTAACCGTACCTACTGTTTTCAGCTTGGAGAAGACAATAGAGTTTTCTTCTAACTCTAAGCCATGTAAACAGGAAAAAATGTTTCCCTCTGAGAAATCTGAAATTCTTAACTCAGATGTCTCACTGGCCTCACTAACATTCAACAGACTAGAGATAAATTGTATTCACTTGTCACAGGTCATCTTTCATAATCTCAGAAGGCAGGGTGTCATTGTGGGGAACTCTGAATCCGCGTTCTTTTCATTGGCTGGTTCTTTCACTTACCAGTTTTTTATCTTGGCTTCATGACCCTAACCTCACACCTGAGTCTCAGTTTCCCCAGCTGTAAAATGGGGATGATGTTCTTCCGAGCTTTCAGGATTGTTCTAAAGACTGAGGGTAGTAAAGAATATGGAAGCACTTTATAACTGAGTTAAATGTACTGTATTAGTATTGAGATGCTCATCTTAAATTTAGTATTTAATCCCAGTAATTTTTCTGTCCTGTAAGATACTGCAGCAAAATATTTCCAGCACCAGGGGACTTGAATCTTTCCATGGCCAAAATATGCCCCTTCCCCTTCCAGGGCATTGCAGGCCACTTCATGCTAGTGACCCTGGGATGTCAACTCAGACTCAGTGTCCTTGCAGCACACGAAGATGACCGTCCCCAGACACTGCCGTAATGTGACACGTGGGTGAGCAGGAAGAAACCCTCACTCCAGCTCCTCACAACCCCTAGGGTTATGTTAGTTGAAAATGGTAAAAAATGTAAAAATATTCCCTGTGGAGCCCAATGGAAGGAATGGATTCAGCGCATTTGCCTCAGAGAACCCGGGCCCTGGCTCGCAGCTGTGCTGGGACAGACTTTAAACTCACTCAGCATTCACCCACATTGCACAGTCCCGATGAGAGGACTTGACACCACAGACCCTTCAGATGCCTTAATTAAGGGGAAAGAGCCAATGATTAGTCCAAACTGTGATGCGGCTTCTTGTTTCTCCATATTTCACAGGAACTAACATGTGACGATTGGCAGGTCCTAGTTTAAAAACAGATGAGCAAAGCACAACTTTGTCATTGCTCATACTTATGCTGATTTTAATATTTTCTTAACCCTTTTTCTCATTGCCCCCCCCCCCCCACTTTCTCTCTTTTTAGAACCCATTAGCCATAAAGTAAGCAACATTATGTCTGTCTGTCATTTACCCTAATTCTACAAAAGATTTGGTAAGAGGCCATAGCGAGGCTTTTGGAGATGCCGGGGGCCCTCCCACGTTCGGAGGAAGCTGATTCCTCTGAGGTGCCCGGGCGCACATTCACTCTCTCCAGGTGTGTCAGCACGTGTCCCAGGTGGCACCACGCCCACCGGAGCTGCTGCAGGTCACTGTGCACAGTGCTTTACGGTGGACCTGATCTGACCCCGGCATCTTTTATTGCGACACTAAGGCAGGACCGCGTGAGAGCGAGCTGGTGGGATAGCATGCTATTCACCGTGCCACCTTTTCTTTCAGAGACTCTGACCTATTTTTGTTGGACACCCGCGTAGTGTGGGCCTCAGAAGAAGGCTGGCTGGAATTTGACATCACGGCCACCAGCAATCTATGGGTCGTGACCCCCCAGCACAACATGGGGCTTCAGCTGAGCGTGGTGACTCGGGATGGTAAGTTTGCCAAAATCAGGCCCACAGTCGCTGTCATCCTTTACAACAGTTATGAGAGAACTGGGGTTTATAGTCGAGTCCTCGGCTCAGATGACTTCCTTTCCTGTTCCCTTATAACCACTGCTGAAAAGCAAAACTTTTTCCTGGAAGGACTAGGAGAGGGTTAGGTGATCCAGGCTCAGAGAAAAAAGGTAGGAGGAGAGTGCTCAGAGGCAGAGGCAGGTGGATGATGTTGAGATAAAGAGAAAAGTGAAGTGTAGTCTAAATCTTGAGTGTTGAGTAGGTTTGCGCGGGAACCCTTCCAGACCCCTCCCCCTGCAGCATTGAAGCTCAGCAGGTCGAAGGCCCTTCACGGCCCTCAGACTGAGCTTGCTCTGGGCGTGAAGTTGCCTCACTGGTTGGGATGAATATGAAGGAAAAGGACCAGCAGGAATGGGAGAGCCTGGGCCCCTCCCGAGGCCTTGCTTTGATTCACAGACCTTTGGAAGGAGTGTTTTGATCCTGTCCATCGGAGGGTACCACCAGCGATCTGAGAATGCACATGCTTTCCCCTCACACTCATGCTTCATGATTAGTCCCCGGGGGGCCGGGAAGGATGGGTTATGCAGCTGCAGGAGAAAGTTTCCATGGAATAAAGGGGGCGCACTTTGGTTTGCCTTCAAGGACTCAGCATCAACCCCCGAGCCGCGGGGCTGGTGGGCAGAGATGGCCCTTATGACAAGCAGCCTTTCATGGTGGCCTTCTTCAAAGTGAGCGAGGTCCACGTGCGCACCACGAGGTCAGCCACCGGTCGGCGCCGGCAGCAGAGTCGCAACCGCTCCACCCAGTCCCAGGACGTGTCCCGGGTCTCCAGCGCCTCAGGTAGGTCTGGGTGGAGTCTGTTTGTCCCCCGTTGGCTCTCAGGCCTTGGGGAGAACAGGGACATGCGGATGGTTTCACATGCTGTACAGCTTCTGCACGGCAAACACAGAGGCCTGCGGGTGCCTGGTCATTGTCACCAGTGATCTAGATGGGTTCCTAGAGCCATCAGAGGGGAATACTTGTTACCCAGACACATCTCACTCTAAAGCCGGGGCCTGCGGGTTCTGGGCTTTCTTCTGCTGTTTAAATCTTGCGGGAATCAGCATGAAGTTAATGATGTACCGTGGGATTTTCAGTCAGAGAGCTTGCTTCCCTTGTTATTACTCTGTGACTTTGGACAAACCTGATCCATTTCAGCTCCACTGACTCATCTATTCAGTGGGGATGGTTACTACTCGGCAGATTTGCTGGGGTTGAATGAGAAGCGTTTGATCTGGCTCATAATGGCACTCGAAGATTAGCTGCATCCAGTGGCAGAAAGTAGGTTGTCGGGGCCTATGTCAGGATCCTCGGGAGGCACGTAAAATACTTCTGGAGGATGCATTCATTCTTCCAGGGGACTGTTTAAAACTGTCATCTTCGGTGGCCAGAAAGAGTTCATACAGCTCCCCAGCTTTACTTTGGGAGAAGTATCTTCAGCTTACGTCCTGACTTAATAAGCCATTTTTTTAAACCAGCGACTTGGATGTGGAACTTGAGGATTCACCACCCAGTGTGATGTGACATTTTGCCTCCTGTCATCCTGGCGTTTCTTGGAAGCGTTGCACAGCATGGGTGTTCCTGTGTTTACCGCTGGAAACAGTCAGGGTTGAGGTTTAAAAGAGAGGAGGAAGGAATGATTGCTTTCCTCTGTTCACTTCAGAGGAAGCCTCCTAAACAGAGCTAATAATCGGAGTTTTCCTCTGGGCACGACAGCGGGTGTTCTGCCAGGGGTAGGCTTCAATTCATTAACGAGCTGTGGTCAGTTCGGTGCTGGGACCTCAGACATGAAGGCAGCTCTTGAAATGTTGATTGCTTTTAAAATTAAAATTTCACTTGGTTTATTCAACATCCCCAGTACACACTGGAGTTTTTTTAAATTGAGAAAACATGTCTCTGATTCTGGTCTTAGCAGTGTCACCCAATTATTTTTTTTTTTTCGAAGTTGCTTTCAACATTTTCCCCCAATTTGATGAGTTTAAATTAACTATGAATATTAATGTGTATCTATTTCCCAAGAAGATGCAAGTATATCTGTTTTTTTCTTGGTCTTCCCACCCTGCCTCCCACCTAGTACTTTCCAATTTGCTTTGCCCCTTTCAGCAGCACTAAGGCAAAGCATTCATTACCTCCTGCCTCAGCTGTGTAAAGGCCCAGACCCCCACCCCCCCAAGAAAATATTCCAGTGGAGGCTCCTCCTTTCCTCTCACTGTCTTCAAAGACCCTCTGAGGCTGGCCCGAGAAACCGCTCACGCGAGGCTCACTGAAGTGCTCCGTGCGTGTCCGGCTCGCTCCTTCTTACTTATCCGAGCTGTTCGTGGGAGTGGAAGTGCAGAGGGGGCTGTTGCTCCTGGAGAAGGGACTTCGGGGACGATGGGCTGCTACCCCGAGAAATGGGCCGTGGGTCTGTGCTTTCTCTCCAGGCCGCAGTGGGGCCAGATGCTGCTGGGCCTTCGTGACCCAGGCAGATGCTGCAGACACAAAAAGCTGTGGCCTCTGGTGTGGCTCCAGGCGGGCCTTTCCCCTTGTAAATCCTTCGGAAGGTTGAAGGAAGAGATTACTGTGCCTCTGCTGCCCCCCTTCTTCCACAGCGTGCTCCCAGGGAATTACTATTTCTCCTCTGCCACCACCAGGAGAAGCCCTCTAGAGAACTCCCTGCATCTGGGTAAAGGAGTCAACACGATCCATGGAATTGCCCGCTGTCAGGGTGAAATACGGCCGGGAAACATGTGGCTATTTTGAAACTGAGCCCCAGATGCCTGAGGTGGCAGGACCAGTCCATCTGCCTCCTCCCTACCGCCCACCAGTTCTGCTCTCACATCTGTACTTGGCCTTTAAGCTGGACTTTCCAAACCTGCACCAAACAGCGGGTTTGGAGTGAAGTCACCCGGATGCTTTTCACTTGTCCTTGCTGCTCTGCAGCCGCCTACTCCAGATGAGGGGTGGACCTTGGCCCTGGTGCACTTCTGCAGTGGGCTTGAGTACCATCTGGACAGCGTCATCTGGCGTTCTCACTAGTCCTGGTCCAAGCCATGCGGCGCAGCCCCCTGGGGATTCTGGTCCATCTGGTGACTCCTTCTCAGTCTCCCTTTCCACCAGCCCGCTGGGCTCGCGGGCCCTGCACTCTCTGGCTTCATTTGGAGTCTCTACCTGCTGCCATTCACCCTCTTCTGTAGCCTCTTTCTCTTGGGGTTCATGATTTGTCTTCTGGGGGACTGTGACACCCCTTAGCCCATCCATTATGAGGGCTGCGAGCAAATGGCCTTGAGCGATGGTCCCATGTGGTGACTCTAGCCACTGACCTAGCTGATGTTCCAGGATCTCTCCAAGATATCTCTGGGGAGGGGGTAGTTAATGCGATTTCAAGTCAGCTGGTGAGTGCGAGGTTTTCTGCCATGTTACCCAGCTGGCTGCCAACAGTGTGACTTACAGTTGCTCTTTCTTTTGGCAGCGGTAGTTTGGAAACATTTTCTGCCTCTTGTAACAACAATTCATGTCAAATTGGATTAGATGACCCTCAGGCCCCTTCCATCCGTGATGTCCATGTTGCCGCCACCCAGCTCTGCCGGCCGTCTGTGCACCAGCAGCTTCTCAAGACTCTGTCTGTCCTTGGGAATGAGTTCTTCAAATGCTGCCTCTTAGCATTTCTTACAGTCACTCCTCTTTCCGCCCCTTTCCAGCCCCCCAAACGTGGGTCTTTAAGGGCCTGGGGGAGATATGGCTGTGGTGCCTTTAGATTTACTTTCTTGACCTTGTTGATAGTTCGAAACTTCTATCCCTTGAACTTCCGATGGAGACAATTCAGTACGCGTCCAGATAAGAAAGGTGACCAGAACTCACGGCTTGGTAGCAACGGCTTGGGCGCTTTGTTATGACTAGGAAACCTTTTGCTATAGATTTCAGGGGCCTGCCGTCCACAGAACTAGGGGGGGCCTCATTCTTACAGATCACCGTGTGTTTGGCCTTTCAGTTCCCAGCAGGTGTCCCCACTAGGTCATCCTTGGCTTCCACAGGATGGTGTGCCAGAGCCGGGTGGAGGACCCCCCATGGACATCCAAGGCTTGGGAAGAATGGGCTGTTTATAGTTCTTCAAAGGAGTGGGGAATTTTGTCATTTTGATCGTAAATTAAAATTGTAGACCCTGCAGCTTGGCTTCCAGATGCCTCAGTCAAGAAGCAGAGGCTTGTTCGGGGCTTTCCAAATGAAATCAAATCTTAATTCTCCACAGCTATGGAGCACACGTATGAGATTAGTGATCTGAACATTCAAATCACTTCAGGCGCCTTGTTTATAATATTCGACTCTCGTTTGCCATTAAGTGCCTTTAGGAAAAGAGTTATCAAGGAGTGAAATCGACTGGAAAGCCACCTTCTGTCCCACCCCTGGGCTCACCCTTACAAAGGTGCTAAAGGCAGTGGTGCTAAAAGGCAGTAATAACAAGGCATGACCAGGGGCTGCTGAGTCATTCACCAACCGTCCCCAGCTCTTGAGGGGGTCCTGGGGCCAGGACACTCAGTCTAGGAACT